GGGCAACCATTGAGAAGTGGTAGCAAATTGGGCCAACACAGTACAACTTCCTGACAAAAGGCTTGCAGGCTCTCTCAGACCTGGGAATTTGGGATCCAAGATCAGGACCACCTTGAGCGGTCTGAGGCATGGATGCCTCCCTGACCTTACAATGCTGCTGCCTGGTCTCCACATCATGGGAGAATAATGGGTGGAATAAAGGCCCGGGCCCCGCTCAGCTTATGGTCGTCAGTGGTCTGCCAATCAGCCAGTCTGCGAGACTGGTTTACACATGCTGAACTGCCTGTGTTTGCCAGTACATCTGCTGGGAGTGTTTAATGGACATTGTCCTTAAAAAACTAATGCATCTCATCCAAGTCTAAGCTCCAAATTTTATTTTAGACACTTCTGAGTGAGTTGGCCGCCTTCACCTGTGCTGCCTTCATAGGGACAGAGAAAGGAACTGGCATCTCAGCAGGAGATGGTCTGGAACACAGGAATCCCACTGGAAATCTTAATTTTTTTCCTTTTTCATCCTGAATAGATATGAGGAAAAGAAGTCTTGGAGATGACAGTTAAACATTAATCTGTCTGAACAAAGCCAGGAACAACCTGATAGATGGCTGAAGCTGTGCCAGCTGTGAGTGAGAGCTGGACCTTCAGAGGTCTGTTCCACCCATGGTTTGAAGCCATCATTCCAGTTTAAGTGTCCTGTACCCTCCTCACCTTCTACATGATGCCCAAGAGCAGGGAGCAACAGTACTGCAGAAGAGGCGGGCTTTACAGTTTCTGCCAGTTGAACATCTTGTTCATTTGTGGTTAACCTAAAGATCAAGGAGGATGATTAGGGAGAGGAGTATTTTGTAGTGCGGGTGAAGTGAGAAGTTTATGGTAAGGTCTGTCTTGAGTCACAGATATGCTCTTCATTATTTCTAGCTGCGGAAGTCAAATTTAGATGGGGGAAGCGAGGAAGCTACACATTCAGCTTTCTTTAGTGTGTGCTGCTTTGTCAACACCCTTTCATCCGTGATGCACAAAGGCAGTGTTTCAACCGGCAAATGAAAAGGAGAAGTCACATGCAAGCATCTAGAGTCTCTTTGGAAAGGTGAACTGTCTTGGCCTGTGGAGAGTACTTTTCTTTCCAAATCCCATTTTGTCATGGTTTGGCTGGGCTGGCCATTAAAACAAATGACAGATGCTGTCTTTTACCTCTCTCCCCTTCAGACAAAGTAGAGCCTTCCCTTAAGACCTCTCAAAGACCTCCCTTCAGAGGAGAAGAGAGAAAATGAGGGAGAGAGAGACTTATGAGCTGAAAAGAAAACTAAAGCTACTCTAATGAAATATTCATAATAAAATAATAAAAAGATAATAATAGTAATAAGAAAATGAAATATATTCAATATATGGAAAACCATTTCAAACTTCCAGAATGATAATTACATCACTGGCAAGCACTGGGAAAGTCCTAATCTGGACTCATCAATGGGTGGGAATCAGGAACTGGATTCAGGAATGCAGGGATCAGGATCAAAGGCAGATGACTAGACAGAGTCTTACTCGGATGTCGGCCATTGAAGAAAGAGGCTGACCATTTGATCCCTCAGTTTTTATATTGAGCATGATACAGATGGGATGGAATACCCTGTTGGTCAGTTTAAGGTCATAGAATCAGAGAATCACCAAGGTTGGAAGGCACCTCAAGTCCAACAGTCAACCTAACACTGCAAAAACCATCACAAATCTGTATCGCTAACTACTATGCCTACCCGTCTTTTAACTACCACTAGGGATGGTGATTCATTAACTTCCCTGGGCAGCCTGTTCCAAGGCTTAACAACCCTTTCAGTGTAAAAATTTTATCCTAATATCCATCCTAAACCTTCCCTGGTGCAACCTGAATCCTTTTCCACTTGTCCTATCGCCTGTTACTTGGGAGAAGAGACTGACACCCCCCCCCACCCCCCGCCCCCGCTACACCCTCCTTTCAGGGAGTTTTAGACAGTGATAAAGTTTCCCCTCATCCTCCTTTTGTCCCTTGCCAACTTCTTTGCCCTTCTCTGGGCACGCTCCAACACCTCAATGCCTTTCCTGTAGTGAGGGGCCCAAAACTGAACACAGTATTTGAGGTGGGGCCTCATGAGTGTCCAGTACAGGGGGACAATCACTGACCCAGTGCTGTTGGCCACGCTGTTCCTGATACAGGCCAGGATGCTCTTGGCCTTCTTGGCTACCTGGGCAAACTGCTGGCTCATCTTCTGCCGGCTGTCGACCAACGCCCCCAGGTCCTGTTCTGCCAGGTATCTCTCCAGCTACTCTTTCCCAAGCCTGGAGCACTGCATGGGGTTGTTGTGCTCCAAGGGCAGGATCCTTTCCAAGGCTTAACAACCCTTTCAGTGTAAAAATTTTATCCTAATATCCATCCTAAACCTTCCCTGGTGCAACCTGAATCCTTTTCCACTTGTCCTATCGCCTGTTACTTGGGAGAAGAGACTGACACCCCCCCCCACCCCCCGCCCCCGCTACACCCTCCTTTCAGGGAGTTTTAGACAGTGATAAAGTTTCCCCTCATCCTCCTTTTGTCCCTTGCCAACTTCTTTGCCCTTCTCTGGGCACGCTCCAACACCTCAATGCCTTTCCTGTAGTGAGGGGCCCAAAACTGAACACAGTATTTGAGGTGGGGCCTCATGAGTGTCCAGTACAGGGGGACAATCACTGACCCAGTGCTGTTGGCCACGCTGTTCCTGATACAGGCCAGGATGCTCTTGGCCTTCTTGGCTACCTGGGCAAACTGCTGGCTCATCTTCTGCCGGCTGTCGACCAACGCCCCCAGGTCCTGTTCTGCCAGGTATCTCTCCAGCTACTCTTTCCCAAGCCTGGAGCACTGCATGGGGTTGTTGTGCTCCAAGGGCAGGATCCTTCACTTGGCCTTGTTGAACCTCATCCCATTGGCCTCGGCCCATCCAGTCAGCCTGTCCAAATCCCTCTGCAATACCTTTCTACCCTGAAGCAGATCAACACTCCCACCCAACTTGGTGTCGTCTGCAAATTTAACTGAGGGTGCACTTGATCCTCTCATCCAGATCCTTGATAAAGATATTAAAGACAAGCAGTCTTAGTACTGACTTGCTCAGAGAATGAATCCTGAGGAGTGATGTCTGGTCCTCAGAGCAGTTGGTAGAGAATAGCATGTGGCATTCTCTTCAGGGAGCTCTCCCTTGTCTACGTTGTGCTTGAGCTCTAAGGCAGCTTGGTGTTTTTTCTGGTGGTGTTTCAATGGGAAGCGCTTTCAGTTAAACCTCTTCTAACTAACTGAACTCCCTGGAATTAACAGCAAATTTTTCACACAGTGTCCGCTCCCAGACTGATAAGACCTAATTGTTTATCATTTCTGCCAAGGAATGGTGTGCAGAGAAGCTCTTGGTTGTACTTACTGCTGCAACAACAAAGGTCAGCTCACTTTGTTATTTGCCCCGTTGGAGGGTTGGAAGTGCAAAAGCGTAGAGGGGTCGCACACGCTGGAAAGAGTGAACAAGAGAGGTGACCCCAAAGTGATCAAGGGGATATTCTATCAGGTATCTGATCTAGTGGAGGCGAATGAACCTCAGCTGCATGGATTATATAAAGAAGATCTCCAGAGACTATGGAATAGAGCCTGGCTGAGCAGCTCCCATGGAGATCCTGGTACTGCAGACATCTAGGGTGGGACTGGATCCTCTCAATCTAGGAGGACTTAGAACAGGGAGCTTGGAGAACATCCTCATTCTAAACACGCCACCTAGTCAGGTAGCCAAAGAAGCATGTGATCCGTCCTGCCCAGCGCTCAGAAATAAGCACAGAACATTCAGGAGAGTTGAGAAAACATTTTTCTGCATGGACAGTTAGTGTTATCAGCGATGTTCACCTCTTAGTGTTCTTGTGCAATTTCACCCTTTGCAGCCACCTAGCCATCTGCCTAGACCTGCTTGACTTGTTTATTTCAAGGGGAGTAGACAAAAAGATTAAGAAGCTGGGTGAAACTCTACTTTTGAAGAGTAGCAAGGTCTTATCGCTTTCTTCTACTAGACACAATGTTGCTGAAAGCAATCGATCCACAGCTCTGCAGTGATAAGGGGGGGATCTGAGACCCACTGTTTGTCAGAAGTGGTGTCCTCCTGAGGCACCTGCTTCTTTCACAGAGAAGATTCAGGGGAGAAGCTCAGATCCATCATGTCCTTTTTCTTCCAGGCAACAAGAAATGCATCTCTCCCTCGCACGAGTGGTCAGGGTTGTCTCTCTGCAATACTGCTTTTTCCATTGCCGTCTTAGAAGTTTCCTATCCCGTCACCACCCACACAAGGGCATCTTGTTGACCCCTCACATCCTCCTCACCCGATCCAATATGAAAAAACCTCCACATTTCAGCCCTCCGACATTTCACAGGTACAAAGAAAATGTTTCATCTGAGGTTTGAGAGGATGAAAAGGAGAGAATGGGTGTGTATAGGCTGGCTGATGCCTTTAAAGTACAGTTTATTTGGACTCCCACTGCACTATGCCACCACCTTCTCACTGAAACCGGCCCTCCCATGTTTTAAACCTGTGGTTTCCCGGTTTGCATGCATAAATCCTAGGCGTACAGGTTGCCCCTCTCCCCGTCCATAGCACTAATCTCTAGACTGTCCTGCCTTCACAGCTCCGTGGACACTTCTGGGCCATTGTGGGGTAAAATTTGTGAAGGAATGGAGGTGAACACAGTACTAGCTTGTGAATAGGGAAATCTGAAGAGAGGGTTTTTTTGGTCTGTCCAAGTGGTGTACATGGTCTCTTCTTCTCTGTGCAGGTCTTCCTGCCCGTCACCTCATGAGAAGATAATGCTAGGTAGCACCCAGACACAATGTAGCAAGCTTAGAAAGCTGAGAAGTGGGATGAGAAGAGTGATCTCTGTCTGGGAACACTCTCCCGCTCACTCTCCCAACAGCCCCTGTACTAGGAAGTAGATGCTCAGGCATTTCATCGTGTTCCCAAGAAGGCTGCACACACAGGCAAGTTTGAACATGCTTTTATTGGTGGGCAGAAAGCAGAGCAGGAGGTAGAGCCATGAGAAGAAGGGAGTAACATAAAACTGTGTGTACTTGGGATCTGCGTTTTTACCTTGCTACGGAGATATTCCTTAGCTCAGAAGCCTGTGCATATGCCACGAGAGTATCTCTGACTCCATTTCAGCTGTCCCTGGAAGCAGATGTTTGATGCATTGCGGAAACAGGGCACTGAGCATTTTAGTCAGAAGAGGGAGAGTCAGGTAGGTCTTGGAGTGCAAACTTCCTCAGCTCTTTACGTATCCAGGGTACAAAATTGGAGACTCTGGTAAATATTTCAGGGAAGATGGAATATTTGTGTCTATAAGAAACAATGCCATGAGCCTTTCCATTGCAGACTAATGGGCCGCCAGAATCACCCTGTGAGGCAAAAGCATTGGGAGGAGTCAGACATGTCACAGCACAGCTACCCCTGCCCTGAGGAAGAAACTGGCCCTCTTCCCTCGCTCGGCACAAAGAACTTTCTTGTTTGATCATTTCCCTCCAGGCCCAGCTCTGAAGGCCTTGTAACTGCCCACTCCTCTAAGATGATCTTGGTCTGCAACTAAAAAACTGGCTTCACATCCCTGAAAAGAAGAATCTAGTCCTACTTTAGACATGTGGAAATATCTGAGCCATCCCAGTGTGTCAGGAGGATATAGCAAAGGATTTACATGAGATCCACAGCCTGGTGGAGCAGTGGCTGTGCTGGATAGAATGTCCCCAGGCATGTAAGGAGGCACACGCTGCTGACAGTTGGGCTTCAGACCTCTGAGAGGAGCCTCCACACATCATCCTGAAGAATCTAGTTCATTTTGATCCCCTTCTTCCCCTATCTGAGAACCAACGTGCCGGTCTAGCCCCAACCTCATCCCCAGCTTGGAGCCCAAAACAACACTTACTTCGAAAAATGCTTTTTTGCTATTCTCATCACCAGCACAGATCATAGACGTTTGCCGATAGTACTTTTTGAGATGTTCTCCACACACGTTGTCACACTGCACTTCTAGGTCCACCTCCCTCAGCACACTGCTCACACTCCCTGATGTTGATGTTCTGCCCCAGCCAGCCACGTTGCATTTAGTTCCTGGTTTCACACGCTCATTGTCACTTGGCAAGGAGATACAAGAGACTTTCTTAGTCAACTTCGCCTTTGGCTTCAGCTGTCAAGCAGAGAGAACATGGGGTTAGAGCAAGCAAAGAAAGTAGGAAAAGCTCATTGGGTTGGGGAAATGAGTGGGGGGAGATCCCTTGGTCAGCAAGGATGTGTGACAGCATACCTTCAGCAGCATGATGTCATTTTCTGAGGTATTTTGTGAATACTTGGGATGGATGACCCAGTGGCGAACATGGAACTTCTGCTGGCTCAGCTCCCTCTTCTCTACATTGTGGGCTCCCAGGGTCACAATGACAGTCACGTTTCTGCCAGAAAACAGCAACATGTTCCAGCTGCACTGACCACGACCAGCTGGGGAGTCCCTTAGTCCATGCCGACATAGGACTAAGGTGTCCCATTAGGAAGGAAAAAGGGAAGCAGGGAATGAGAGACTGATCTCTCTTCTCCAAAAGTAGCTCTGAGCCACAGTTGGAACCACGGACCAGGAGACCACTGCCAAGGAGTCCTGTTCCCAGGCGTATACACAGCCCCTGGCAGACAATTCCTGCAACTCACAGGGGCTGTCTTGGCTCACAGAGAGAGTCCTGCTGTGTCTGAGGGGTCACAGAATGCTCTTTTACACCAGAGCTAGACTTTGGCTCTTCATGATAGTGAGAAACTTGGAAAAAATTTCATATACAAGTAAAAATGGGCCTTACTTTTTTCCAGCCACACAGTGAGCTGCTGAGAGCACTGCATCTGGCTGAATCAGGAATCCTCCACATCTAGACTTCCCAGTTGATAAATAAGCCATGTAGGGCCGGGAGTGGGGCTTAACTTCCGACCCACCAATGATCCTTCCTAGAAGAGAGATGAGAAGTGTTAATATCACACATGCCTCCTTTTCCCATCAAGTTCAGAGGTGCATGAGGGGAGAGGGTCATCCTCTGATGACACATGCCAGTGGTGCCAGTAACTCTCCTTCCTGGGGCTGTCCAAAGCATTGCTTGTGCACAGTGGAGAAAACAACAAAACAACACTTCCTGGGGGTGACTGACAACACCTGACTCTGGATGTCTAAAATGCTATCAAAGGGCACTACACTGGTAGTACCTGGAATGCATCACTTGTTTGAGGCACAGTCTCCTCTGAGAGGTATGAGTAGAAAGTAGAGATGAGAAAAGACAAGGCAGGGACCAGACAGATTTCCTACTCAGTGCCCATTCCTGCCCTTGCATTTCCTCCCCTAAACCCCATCTCTCTGTACTCACCAGCCCCAGCCCATGGGACAAGGAGAAAAGCACTTGTGAGCAGAGGGAGAAGCAGCATCTTCTGCCACTGTCCTGAAGAGCCAAACCAGTTGTTGTGGCCAGGCAGGAGACAGGTACAGAAATATATCTGAAATGTGGAGCTGGAACAGGAAACCTCAGCCTGCTTTCAGCTTATGTCATTTGCTGCCTTTGGTCTAACAAACCCCGATCTGTGGTTGGGTGAGGGGTGCATGTCACAATGTCTGTTTTTTGTCACCATCTCCTAAAAAGGTGGGAGAGATCTGAGCTTGTTCAGAGCACCCAGAGTGGCCAGTACTCAGGCAGCAGTGAGAGGAGTGGAGCATTTCCATTTGAGTGCATATCTCCTTGGAGACTCTTGGTGAGTGCTTCCTTGGCTCCTAGATATCATTTTTTTTTGAGAGTTTTGGTGTTTTTTCTTATTTTCCCTGACCGCTGATAGGAACAGTGAGAGCTGAACCAGGCCAGACAGAGGGTCTGGTTCTTATCAGAGGGGCAGACTGCCATCAGAGGTGCCCATGAGATATCAGAAATCACCTGGCAGAGCAGGTAAGGCCTGGGACCTACCAGACACTCAACACGTCAAGCACTAGTGTTTTAGATGGTCAGACAAGTCCATAATGATGAGGAAATTTGAGGTTGAGCATGGGCCCAGGCCCTCATCATCAGCAGATTACATGGCCAGGCACAGGCTTGGCTGAGGAACAGCTGGAGCTCAAATGGGGACCAGAGTCGACTCTTGGTGAGTGCTTCCTTGGCTCCTAGATATCATTTTTTTTTGAGAGTTTTGGTGTTTTTTCTTATTTTCCCTGACCGCTGATAGGAACAGTGAGAGCTGAACCAGGCCAGACAGAGGGTCTGGTTCTTATCAGAGGGGCAGACTGCCATCAGAGGTGCCCATGAGATATCAGAAATCACCTGGCAGAGCAGGTAAGGCCTGGGACCTACCAGACACTCAACACGTCAAGCACTAGTGTTTTAGATGGTCAGACAAGTCCATAATGATGAGGAAATTTGAGGTTGAGCATGGGCCCAGGCCCTCATCATCAGCAGATTACATGGCCAGGCACAGGCTTGGCTGAGGAACAGCTGGAGCTCAAATGGGGACCAGAGTCGTCAGAGTTTCCTCTTCAAAGCAGCTCCCCTGAGAAGGGAGGCCTCTCTGAAGTCCCCTCTAGGAGCACTGGCTCCAGAGTTACTAGACGGAAGGGACACCGCCCTCACTTGCCCCGGCTCTAATTTGGCCGTGATCTTAGCGAGACAGACCTCCAGTAAGGCACTTCAGGTGCTGACACTGGGATGGAGCAACTCTGGGCTCTGACTCCAGAACAGCTTTGCCATTCTCATAGCCTGAGTCTCTTTTATTTAATTCTGTATTTATGAATGTCTATTCATTATCTTTATCTCTAATGCTCCCACCATCTGCTGCTGTGACAAGCCCGTTTCCGTCTTCTTGGTGGTTCCATGAAGGTATTGGAAAGCTGCTCTTAGCTGTCCCCAAGGCCTTTTCTTCTCCTGCTTGAAGTAGTCCAGTTCCCTCAACCTCTCCTCAGTGTAGACAACTATGGTACTCTGCCTGTTACAGGCCTCCAGGTAGAGTACAAGCTGTGAAGCACCACCATAGAATCATAGAATGGTTTGGGCTGGAAGGGACCTCCAAAGGTCATCTAGTCTGTCCTCCCTGCAGTCAGCAGGGTCACCCCCAACTAGACCAGGTTGCCCAGGGCCTCATCAAGCCTCACCTTGAATATCTCCAGGGAAGGGGCCTCAACCACCTCCCTGGGCAACCTGTTCCAGTGTTCCACCACCCTCATAGTAAATAACTTGTTCCTAATATCCAATCTAAATCTGCTCTTCTCCAGCTTAAAGCCATTGCCCCTTGTCCTGTCACTACAGGCCTTTGTAAACAGATTCTCCCCAGCCTTCCTGTAGGCCCCCTTCAGAAGGCTGCTATTAGGTCTCCCCGGAGTCTCCTCTTCTCCAGGCTGAACAACCCCAGCTCCCTCAGCCTGTCCTCATAGCAGAGGTGCTCCAACCCCCTGATCATTTTCCTGGCCCTCCTCTGGACCTGCTCCATCAAGTCCATGTCCTTCCTATATTGAGGGCATGATCATTGCAGCCCAGGCTGCCTTCAACTTTGACATTCCTGATGATTTCGCTTGCATTTGTGACCAACAGGTCCAACAATGCATCTCCTCGAGTGGGACTGTTAATTTCTTTTCTCAAGAAGTTGTCATCTAGGCACTCTAGGAGCTTCCTGGAGTGCCTGCAGCCAGCCGTGTTGCTTTTCCAACAGATGTCAGGGTGCTTAAAATCCCCCAGCAGGATGAGAGCCTGTGATCGCAATGCCTCCTCAAGCCGGAGTGAGAAGGCATCATCAACAGGCTGCGCCTGGTCAGGTGGCCTGTAGTAGACTCCTACCACAAGGTTCCCTTTGTTGTCCTGATTCCTACCCATAAGCTTTTGACCTGCTCATGGCTATTCTTTAGCAACAACTCTTCACGCTCTAGCCACTTCTTTACATAGAGGGCAACACCTCCACCCTTTCTTCCTCTCCTTTCCCTCCTGAACAGCTTGTAGCCTTCGATAGCCACACTCCAGTCATAGGAGTCATCCCACCAAGTTTCCGTAATTGCTACTATGTCATAGCATTCCTGTAGCAGGACAGCTTCCACCTCCTGTTCATTGCCCATGCTGCGTGCATTGGTGTAGAGACACTTCAGCCGGTCTTCTGGCCATGTCGCCTTTTTAGAGGGGCACTCCACTGATCCCCCAAGGCGCTTTGTGGCAGCTAACCTCCTGTCTCCTATTACCTCGGAAGCTCTTGGTCCAGCTCTGCAAGACCTTCCCTTTGTTGCAGTGGTCACAGCATGCGTCAGTGCAACAGGTTGGAGGCCATTGCTTATCACCCCATCCTTCCAACCCTGATATGTCATCCTGCCACTTGCCACAGACCATTCTGATATTATCGTTGTCTGCTGCCTCAAGTGAAATGGCAGGCTGAAGGCTATCCCTAGGCTCATCTCTAGTGCCCCTGTGTTTAGCCCCCTTCCCCTTCGAGCCTAGTTTAAAGCTCTTTCAACAAGCCCTGCCAACTCATGTGCCAGGATGTTTCTCCCCCCCCGAGACAGATGTACTCCATCTGTTGCTAGAGGACCTGGTGCCATATAAACTTCCCCAAGATCAAAAAACCCAAGCTCTCTGAGCCTGATCATCCAACTTGTCCACTCACTCATATCATACCATCCTCACCTAGACGGAAGAATATCCTTGGAGACAAGGTCAAAAGCCTTGCTAAAGTTGAGGTAAAGACACTCACTGCTCACCCCCATCCATAATGCTGTAATTAGAGAAGACAATTGCGTATTTGAGGCCTGTTCTACCCTCGGTAAAAGCATGCTGACTGTTCCAACCTTTTTCCTTTCCTTCTTTATGGGAGGACTTGCTCTGTGACTTTTCCAGAATTCCTAGAAAACATTTCCTTCATCTGATTGCCAGCTTTCACCTTTCACCTTTTCATTCTTCTAGAGCCTGCCAGCACGACATCTAATCTGGCTTCCTGGAAGCTTTTTAACCACACAATTTCTATCCCACGAAGAGATAAAGCAGAAAACTGCAAACCACATCGCTTTCTGTGATGTGTGAGACTGTGTTACCAGAGGAGCACAGACACAGACTGAGGAGACATTTCTGACCACACCAAGCTGCATCACTGAATGATAAGAAACGCTTGACCAAAGCCACAGCCCTCTGCAGTATTCGGATGTGTCCAACAAAGTACTGATGTTCTCAACAGTTCCTCTCCTGTCTGGTAACTCAAGCAACTGTAAAGAGGCTGTGTGCGTCGATTGTTGATCAGGATGCAACTGTATTCAGTAAGCAGACGCAGAAGCAGAGGTAGACGCAGCAAAAGCAGAAGCATGAGCACCACACAAGCACTGAGCACCACAAGGAGCATAAGCAGCACCACACTTTATTCACATACCCAAAGCTCTCTATATAGAGCTAGTTTCTGAGCTGTTTTGCCAAACAGGATGAGCACTCTCATTCTCACAGTATGTGGCTGTCTTCAGCCACATCTCTCTACACACACTCCTCCAGGCAGTTTTCCAGCCTGACCTTCACAGACACACACAATGTTTTTCTTTCCTGCCTGGCCAGGTCGAAACAATCTTGTTCTTAAAGCGATATAGTATTATTTCTGATCAAGTTTTGCTTGCTTCTGCAACATGCTCAGAAGGGTTCCAAAATCAGTCTTTAACAATCTTCCAAATGTTGTGCATGGCCCCAACAATGGGCACCCTGCCTGGGTGGGGACTGGCTGGGCTGGTTTTGGAGCTGGTTTCTCACTCTCCTCCTGGCCAGGTCGTGTGGCCCCAACAACTGTGTCTTCCCAAGTGAAGAGGATACACTGCAAGGCCCTTGTGATCTCTTGAACAGGCCTGTGCAACTGCACTACTGAGCACATGGGTGGAGGCACGTCCGGGCCCTGCTGGATGGTGCCATTATAGAATTATTGTTCTGTGCACTCATAGATTTCTCTGCTCAAAAAAGTACAAGGGTCCAAGTGGACGTGCTTGTGTTGCTGCTCACCAGGGAAATGTTTTTGTAGGTGAGTACTGAGAACACGTACTGCCTCTCTTGGGATGTGTCAGGAGACAAGTGGGAGGTGATTGAGGCCTCACAACCAACTCAGGTAATCAGAAAGGACTGTGAAAAGAAGAGACACAAACCTGAGCTATCCCATTCACACCAACCAGCTGAAGGCATCCCTGGAACTCCACCTTCAGGCTTTGAGCCTCACAGGGAAAGCTCATCTTGGAGGTACCTGGTTGATTTGCCATATAGCACAAGCTGAGTGTACAGCCATGCTTTGTGTGTGCTCAGCAGAGCAGAACCTGCGCATGAAGTGGAGGTAAACTGTCATGAAAGTGAGGATTCATCATCTGTCCCTTGCCACAAGTGGACTAGAGTGTACCAGGAGTAGATGGCCTTTCAAAGTGTGAGCTTCAGCAAAGTGAATCCAGATGCATCCTTCCACTGTGGCAAACAAATTGGAAGGTCATTAGAAGTACTGACTGAGGACAGGACCCCTTTA